AGGTTAAAGCATTGAAGCAACATTGATTTAGAAGGGAAAGTGAGAGGGTGGACAAATGGTTCAGCGGGTAAGAGCATGTGCTAGCTAGTTTTACATCGATTTGATACAAGCTAGGGCATCAGAGCGGGAGCCTCAGTTGAGAAAATGCTTCCACAAGAGCCAGCTGTAACTTGTATTGTTCTTAATTGGTGATTTAATTAGGGCACTGTCTTTTTTTTTCCTATTTTTTTAAGATTCATTTATTTATTTTATGTATATGAGTATACTGTAGCTGTCTTCAGATACACTAGAAGAAGGCATTGGTTCCTATTACAGATGGTTGTGAGCCACCATGTGGTTGCTGGGAATTGAACTCATGACCACTGAAAGAGCAACCAGTGCTCTTAGCAGCTGAGCTGTTTCTCCAGCCTCTAGGGCACTTTCTTAATTACTGATGGATGGGTAGGGCACAGCCCATTGTGGGTGGGGCCATTCCTGGTCTAATGGGCCTGGCTTTTGTAAGAAAGTAGGCTGAGCAAGCCACGAGGAACAAGAAGTAGCACCTCCCCATGGCCTCTGCATCAGCTTCTGCCTACTGGTTCCTGCCCTGTTTCAATTCCTGTCCTGATTTCCTTCAGTGATGGATTAATGTGGAACTGTAAGCCAAATAAACTCTTTTCTCCTCATGTTACTTTTGGTCATGGTGTTTTATCAAAGTAATTATAATTCTAACTAGGGCTGGGCAGTGGTGGCACACGCCTTTAATCCCAGCACTTGGGAGGCAGAGGCAGGTGGATTTCTGAGTTCAAGGCCAGCCTGGTCTACAGAGTGAGTTCCAGGACAGCCAGGGCTACACAGAGAAACCCTGTCTTGAAAAACCTTAAAAAAAAAAAAAAGGGAAAAATAATTCTAACTAGGACAGAAATTGGTACCAGGATAGTGTGTGTGATAGACCTGACCATGCTGGTTTTTAGGAGGATTGTGGAAGGACTCTGGAACTCTGACCTAGAAGTCATTGAGTTTCCAAAGCTTGGTGAGCTGTTCTGAGGGAGCCTGGGAGATAAAACTCTTGAGAGAAATGCAGAGGATGGAGGCCTGGCTTATGAAGTTCTAGAAGGAAGTTTGAGAGTCACTTGAAGACTCTACTGGGGCCATTTCATATTTTGAGTTAAGAATCTGTGGTTCTGATTCCCTGGGGGTGAAAAATCGGCTGTGATTAACAAAAGTCCGGAACCCCTAAAGTGAAACCTTTGCTTTGCTAGCATAATTGATGCTGGAGCTGAGAAATTATTGTGAGGTTAGAGATCAACATCACTGAGGTGAAATCTTCTGGGAGGTGTTTCTTCAGTTAGCATGGCCAGGGTTGCAGCGTGCTGGCAGCTGAACTTGATCATGCGTAAGTCTCCCAGGTGCTGCTGGTTTTAAAGGTACGAACGGGTCATACGAGAGCGGCTGAAACTTGGCACTGTGAGAAGCCAAGAGAGGCTCTTGGTGAAGGGTCATGGATTACATTTAATACCCCAGGATTAAAGAGGTCATGCAGAAAAGCTGAGGTTTGGCACCATGAAGAGAGCTCAGAAGAGGCTACTGGTGGAAGTCCAGCTCAGTTGCAGCAGAGACCCCCAGCATTTTGGAGATACCAGTACCACGGGATGACCACCAAGAACAGCAGCAGCAGGAAGTGGAGCTTGCCAGAGCTTAGAAGACAAGCTGTGTGTGCTGCAGAGGGCAGAGCTGGAGAAGTGACCCAAGCCCCTTGGAGGAGCCCAGATGATCATGAGTAAATCCCAAATATTGGACATTGAGTTATTTACGCTGTTGGAGTGTGGTTTTGACTTGATTGTGCCTGTGCCCTGGTTCTTCGCTCTAGAAACAAGAAAGTGTTTAACTTATTGTGATTTTACAAGAGTCCACAGTTAAAAGACTTTAAATTTTTTTTACTTTGTCTGTTTTTTGTTTTTCAATACAGGATTTCTCTGTGTAGCCCTGGCTGTCTTGGAACTCACTCTGTAGACTAGACTGGCCTCAAACTCAGAGATCTGCCTAGATCAGAGGTGTGTGCCATCACTGCCCAGGGAGACTTTATAGACTTTTTAAAAGAAGCTATTTATTTATTTAGATTTAGATTTATTTATTTTATATATGTGACTACACTGTTGCTGTCTTCAGACACACCAGAAGAGGGTATTGGATTCCATTACAGATGGTTGTGAGCCACTATGTGGTTGCTGGGAATTGAACTCAGGTCCTCTGGAAGAGCTATATGTGCTTTTAACCACTGAGCCATCTCTCCAGGCTCAAAACTGGATATTTATAAAGAGGCAATTTTTAATGTGTTTGAATTTGTAAGACTGTGAGACTTTTTTTTTTTTTTTTGGTCTTTTCAAGACAGGGTTTCTCTGTGTAGCCCTGGCTGTCCTGAAACTCACATTGTAGACCAGGCTAGCCTCGAACTCTTGAACTCAAGAAATCCGCCTGCCTCTGCCTCCCAAGTGCTGGGATTAAAGGCGTGTGCCACCATTGCCTGGCGGCTGTGAGACTTTTTAAGTTTGTAAAATGTTGTATATTGTGATGTTTTTATTAATGGATGACCTTGAGGATAAAGGGAAGGGTGTGACTTAACAGTGATGTGTTTGTGTGTCAGATTGACAAGGGGTCAGTTGTGCTGGCTAGATTCATGTCAACTGGACAGGAGCTAGAGTCATCAGAGAGGAGGGAGCCTCAGTGAGAAAATGCCTCCATAAAACTGGCTGTAGACAAGTCTGTAGGGCATTTTCTTAATCAGTAATCGATGGGAAAGGACACAGCCCACGGTGGTTGGTGCTATCCCTGGGCTGGTAGACCTGGGTTCTAGAAGAGAGCAGGCAGAGCAAGCCATGAGAAGCAAGCTAGCAAAACAGCACTCCTCCATGGCCTCTGCCTCAGTTTCTGCCTCTAGGTTCCTGCCTTGTTTGAGTTCTTGGCCTGACTTCTTTAGTGTTGGACTAAGATGTGGATATGTAAGCCAAAGAAATCCTTTCCTCTCCAAGTTGCTTTTGGTCATGGTGTTTCATCACAGCAATGATAAGCCTACCTAAGATGTGCTGCTTTTGCTGATGAGAAGACCTTGGTTCAATTCCTAACCCCCACAGAGGCTCACAACCATCCCTAATACAATTCCAGGAGGTAAGATACCCTCTTCTAATCTCTGCAGGCACCAGGCCAGCATAGTGTACCCATAAATACACATACATTCTGGCAAAACATTCATATACATAAAATAAGTAAATCTTAAAAATAAGTTAAAAAGGTAAGTGAGTTAACCAAGCAAACATCCAATTCCTTTATTAATATAGGACGGTACAGGGCCAAAAATCATACTCCATATGAACACGAATGTTTCAGATGCTTAAAAACACCACTGTGGGAAAGTTACATCCTAAAAGGATATTCGCCCAAAGATCTGAATGTAACCCTTATTTCCCAGGACACTGACAACAGGCTAGTGGAATAACAAGCTGGAACCTTAGAATTCCAGAAGATTCTAAGACAGAAGATGCCTGGGGTTTCCACTCTCTTCCTCTACTAAGGTTAACATTCATAGCAATACTTGCCCTTGGTAGCATCTGACTCAGATAGGCTGTGTGTGAAGCCATCACTCCTTAGCAATTCCTTAGGCAATCTACAGCAGTAGTTTACTATATATTGGCAGGACCTGAGGCATCCCTGGAAATTGTTCATTGGCTTCAATTAGAGAAAATAGTTAAACCCAGCAATAAGAGTAGATAACTTGTGTTAACCAAGCTCTTTTCCAGCTTTGTGCGTTGAAAGTTATGGATCGCCAGGCGGTGGAAAGTTATGGATCGCCAGGCGGTGGTTGCGCACGCCTTTAATCCCAGCACTTGGGAGCAGAGGCAGGCGGATCTCTGAGTTTGAGGCCAGCCTGGTCTACAGAGTGAGTTCCAGGACAGCCAGGACTACACAGAGAAACCCTGTCTCGAAAAACAAAACAAAACAAAACAAAAGAAAACAAAGAAAGTTACGGATTATCCATAACTCCAACCATCAATTGAGAACCAAAGCTTAAAGCCAGGTGTGGTGGCCCATGCCTTTGATTCCATCACTCTTGAGGCAGAAGCACGAGTGTACTAGAGTTCAAGGAACTCTAGTAGACCAGGCTAGTCAAAGCTAGCTTGGTCTACAAGGCAAGGAAGGTCCAGGCCACCCAAAGCTATATATACTGAGAACCCAGGGAAGGGGATAGATACGTATAGAGAACAGTGGACTCAGACTCATGATAGCCACTAGAAGTAGGGCCACCCAATCTGCCCAACCAAACACCACCAGTCTTTCAGGTTTGATCTTTACTCTTTTATCTCCTTCTACCTGGAGTTCAAAGTCAGGGATCCCTCTGCCTTGCTGTCTGCCTCAAAACTTCCTTCGTTAGAGATAACAATGAAGTCAGAGGCAGGGGCTTTGAATATTAGTTGGGAGAGGGTGCACAGTTCCTCTCACTAGCTTGCCAGACGCTTGCAAGGCCCGGCAGGCACAAGTTACTTGGGTAAGACCTGGGACATAAGGTCCTGGGGCCGGTCTCCTTACCTGCTTCTGCTCCTCGTTTAGCCCGTTGATATCATCGTCCACAGGCAACATGGAGTGGGCCCGCTGCGGGACAGCGAGGGGCGACGGGGATGGCCGCAGTCTCCAACTGGAAACTCGCCGCCCCAGCAGCCGGATTGCAGTCGCCATCTCTGCCCTGCACCAGGAGCTTGGGCTGCTATAGCTTACGCTCCACCAATCCTAGCCTCACCATTTTGTCCAATCAGGGAGGGGGTGGGGCTTCAGTAGCCAATCGTGCTCGGAAGCCAGCCGAAGGCCTTGCTGCCCTTGCAGCCAGGCAAGCCAATCAGCCGAGGGGCGGCAGCCAGCCCTGGCTCCGGTGCTTGCTACCTCCTGCACTTGTTTCTTAAGTGTCTTTCTGGGGTAGAGGAGTCGATAATATAGTATCTCGTTGTGTTAAGATTGTAATCTTTAACCGCACAAGACTATCTTCGTGGTAAAGCAAGTACTCCAACAGAGATGCCTAATGTGGTGGAATAAACTGTCTAAACAGATCTGGACGTGCGAAGGTCTGTAAAGAATCTCTTGTTCTAGAGTCCCTACTGAGTTGAAACAGTAAGATTCACTTTGTTATTATGTAATACGTTTTGGTTCCTCCTTCAGCGAAAGAAGTTGCCCGGGATTCTCTGCCCTTAGATTCTGTAATAACTTTTTCTCGTTGGGGTGACGGGGCAGGAAGGGAAGAATGGTGTTTGGGGTTCCCTGAAAAAGCCTCCTGTGTGAAGATTCTGCAGACTAATTAGAACTTTCTGATTGTGGGTATTGGGCTGTTGCAGATTCACAGCCAAAATTATATTCGAGTATCTTTAGTGCCTTTAAGTAACTATTTATATACAGCCCATGTAACTGACCCCGTATTCTTGACCATCAGGTAAGAAAATTTATTTTTAATTAGTTCATTAATCAGAGACAGGATCTCTCTGTAGTCCTGGCTGTCCTGGAACTTTTTGGCTTTGAACTCAAATAGATATGCCTGCCTCGGGCTGGAGAGATGGCTTAGTGGTTAAGAGCACTGACTGCACTTCCAGAGGTCCTGAGTTCAAATCCCAGCAACCACATGGTGGCTCACAACCATCTGTAATGAGATCTGATGCCCTCTTCTGGTGTGTCTGAAGACAGCTACAGTGTATTCATATATAATAATAAATCTTTAAAAAAAAAAAAAAAGATCTGCCTGCCTCTCCCTTTTGAGTGCTTCCACTACAAGTGTATACCACCACACCCATCTGGAATGTATTCATTTGGCAGACCACTAACTTGTACCAAACCAAGAATCTAAGAATGTCATCACATAGCATCTGAAACCATGGCAGAGATTTCCCTGGTTTGCAGTAACTCACTTACAAAGTGCTGGCACCAAAGTCCTTGGTAAATACAGTGATTTATGACTCTGGTTTGTAACTAAGAACATATCCTGTAGCTATTTCACAGTGGAGTATGTCATTAAATTTTGCCCATGTCTCAGGACATGGTTATTCGCAATGGCTTAGAATAAACTCTTAGTGCCTTTGAGGTGAGAGCTGTCTTTTGTGTTCAGAAGAACAAAGGCTGACAGGAGCCAGGTGCTTATCCCTTAATCCTTTTTCCACTTCTGTTATAATATGTAGCACCCAAAGTCCAGGAAGGGGGCTTTGGACACATTGCTTGGATCCTTGCTGTGTCTTTTATCACCTGAAAATGAAAACAGTATTCCCCACCATGCGTCAGTGTCATCACTGGGTGAGAGTACAGCACAATGTGAAGCATCCACTTAGTACCCACGATGCTTTGGTTCAACCCCAGCAATCAAAATTAAAATAAAAACTATTGAATACTTAATTATGTAGCACAGCACTCAGTGCCACATCCTCACTTTTAGTCGTTCCTACCACATCTGACTCCTCCCCTACCTGTTCTCACATTCTAACTTAGCCCACCACCCCCACTGGAAAGAGCTGCATTCTGAGACCCTCCCTAACGAGAGGTCAAGAACCAACCACGGAGCAGTCTCTACACTTTTAATCTCGGCCTTTGGAAAACCAAGGCAGGAGAATCAATCGTCCAAAGTTATTTTCAGCTGTGTGTAGAGTTCAAGGCCAGCCTGGGCTACGTGAGACTAGTGAAAGCATAAAAATGAAAACACACAAAATCACATTCTTATTTCTAGTCTGGTTGAAATGACTTCCTTAAATATTTTGAGGTTGTCCTCGATCTCTTGAGAGGCAAGGAAATGGGTGTAATAAATGATTTTACAGCTAAGAGTGCTATGGCTTTCCTCAGCCTCCCCTCTACAGAATGAGGAAACCTTGAGTCTTTGCTACTGACCTCTGTGTAGAATGTAAAGCATTGCTTTGTAGGAAATAAGGATCAGAAGCTCAAAGATCAATAAAAATACCTGTAATAGATGAGGGTCTACAACCATCCCCCACCCATCTCTGTCCTGTTCCTTTTCTCTCTGAAGGTAATATTCTTATTGCTTTCTTTGAATTATTATTGTATGATATGTGTGAGTGCAGCTCCTGTAGAGTGTGTGTGATACTGTGCATGTGGCAGTCAGGAAAGCATTGTGGGTGGACTCTTTCCTGCTGATGAGAACACAGGGTAGTAACTGGGCAGGCAGCTTAAGCCCCCAAAACAGCTGTTTCTGAGACATCCTTGGTTCTCCTGGCAGGAATGTGAGAAGTGTGCACTGGGTTCTTGTCTCCTCCTGACTGAGCACCCAGCCTGGAAGCTGGAAGCGAGGGCTGGGACTAAAGCCCCATGCCCACTTCTGGTGAACTGCTTTGGGAATGGACCTTCTTACTTTCATGGCATAAATGGGTTATTTCTATTTGCCAACTTCTGCTCATCTCCTAAATGCTTTTAGGGTTCCATCATTAGAGGGAGGTAACCCAGAGCATCCGTAATCCAGTTCTTTCTGGTCAAGATGATTAAACCTCTGGCTTTTGTGGAGACCTAACATTCCAAGCTTCCTAAAACAGAAAAATTAATCCAGTCAGGTAAGCCAATCATCTGGCCAAGGAACCTCTCCCTCATCAGGAAGGTGGGTTCACCTTGAGCTGAGCTAAAGAGATAGGCCGAGTAGTTATTCCTTTAATGATTTACTGCACTTCTCCCTCCCAGAATTCCCTGCCCTAGAGCTATTTCCACAATCTGCTGTGAGGCCATTGGGTCTACTTTCATATATATTTTCTCTTTCAGATGCTGGTCAGAACCTATAGATACATTTTCTGGTACTCTGGATTTCCTTACATCCTCTCCAAAGCCCACATCCTCACCATATGGCTAATCGCCATACTATCTTAAGTGACATGGCTTTTCTTCTTTTCTCTCCTCCTCCTCTGGGCAGCTGCAGAGACTCACAGTTTACCTGTCTTGGGGGTTTTCTTTTCTAAACTCTAATAAAAATCATCCTGTTTAAATAAACTTTGGTATTGTATGGCTTTCAAACTTTTCCTGCCTCTTAATTCTTTAACTGATAAGAGAAAATTCACCTGTTCCTGCATCCTTAGACAGTAATGCTTCTACCTTTCTGTGGGCTCTGGGGAGCCACTCAGGTTATCAGGCTGGTTTAGCATGTGGCTTTATCTTTTGGGCCATCTCACTAGGCCTTTATTAGTTTCATGAATACTCCTGATGCAGACAAGTTCAGGGAATAGTTAAGTAAGCTGGGCTTGTGCTTGGCTTGGATACACCCTCCCCTCCTCTGCTAAGAAGCTTCCCTCCTTTGCCTCTCACTATTGCAAACAAATCTCTCTCCAAACAATGCAACCCTGGACCCCAACCTGCATCAGGCTATGGTATACTCCTCTGTGAACAAGTGGATGTTTTTTCCTTCCCTTGGCAGTCATCAAACTTAAGGCAGAGTCTATTAAATACATTCCCAATGTATCTAGTATTAAAGAATGGAAAGTCATATTTGGACTAGGCTGTTTTTTGGTACTTGCACGGTAAGACAAAACTGTGTATTAGGGAGAATCCTCTATTAACTACCTTAGACCTATGACATAATTTGATGTCCACACGATTAAAATCAGGTGCATCATGGGAAGGCACATGTGCAGTGAAATGATTACAGGATATAGTCTGTCAATCAAACAGAATCACTCTTGCTGTGTCCTTTAGTAACTAGACTCTTTAAACCCCATAAAAGGATGCTCCAAAGAATAATATGGGTGGGGCTGCAGAGATGACTTAGCAGTGAAAGGTACTGACTACTCTTCCAGAGGACCCAGGTTGTTGTTTTTTTTTTTCCAACACCCACAGGGCAGCTCACAATTGTCTGTATTTCCAGTCCCAGGGGATCTGCCACCTTCTTCTGGCCTCAGTGGGCATTGTATGCAGACACAGATGCATACAAAACACCCATACACATAAAAATAATAAGAACTTTAAAAAAAAAGTAAATTCAGAAAATAATTTAAATTTGTGTTAGGCATGGTGGTGCACGTTGTTAATCCCAACACTTGGGAGACAGAGTCAGGCTTCTTTGAATTTAAGATGAGCCTGGTCTACATAGTGAGGCCAGGCCAGCCAGGACTATGGAGAAAGACCCTGTCTCTAAAACAGCAACAGCAACAACAAACAATAGAATTTGAATTAGGAGGGTGGGATGGGAGATTTGCCAGTGAAGTCAAAGCACTTGCTGATGAGTCTGACAGTCTGAGCTGGATCACTGAAACACAGGAGAGAAACGCACCTGCCCCTCAAGTTTTCCTCTGACCTCCACATACACATTTGCACATTATGACTTAGCCTTTCACAAACACCCCTTTCGGTAGGGTCTATTTTTTTTTTTTTTGAGATAAAGTCTAACCATGTAGCCCTGGCTGTTCTAGAACTTGCTATGTAGACCCAGGCATCACACGGAGCCTTCCATGCTCAGTCCCTTCACTTTGATTTCTGCCGCATTTTTTCCTCATTTTTTAGATTCTTCTCATAGGCTTCTCACAGGTTTTGGATCCCAGCACAGCTACTTAATGCAGATCCATTTTGTATTCTCTCCCCTACTTTTTTATTCTGACTAATTCAGAGGCTACTGCAGAAGACCCCCATGTCTTTGGTCATTGTGATTGCCTCTCCCTTTTGTGAGTTCTTTTTGGTGAGGAGTGAGTGTCCCTGTGTTAATGAGCATTGTTGACATGAGCACAGCCATATTGAGAATGTCAGTTGCTTCAGACTCATGGGGCTGGCGAGGCCTTTCCCTGGTTTGAGTACAGATGTTGAAGAATGGTTTACCTTTAACTAAAAACAGTATGAGCAAAAAGTACCCACTACAGCTTCCTCCTCCTGAATGACTACATGATCAGAGCCCCTGAGCCCCTGAGCCCTACAGAGACCTCCCAGAGAGACCACCTAACCTGCCTTCTAGTTCATGCTGTATATAATAAACAGGCTGAGGATTGTGGCTGCTAGTGCATCTCCATCCAACCCCACTGCCAGACCAGTCCCGGCTTTACATTATTTGTGTCTATCTTCCTTAATCTCTCATGGCTCCTTGTTAGGTTTCCAGGACCAAGCTGCACAAGGCAGCGACAGGCGGACATCTCAGTATCATGACATTTCCCAGAATAGGCAAGTAACTTCTGTCACAAATCCCTTACAGTCTTATTCCCCATGTGTTACGTCAGAGACTCAAACCTGCCCACTGGTCCAATGGCCATTCTCTGATGAACCATACTCAACAAGGAGACATTCCTCATTAGATACAGAAGACAGCTTCACTGGGACTTCTCCCTACAGCTTCCTGGCTCTGATTCTTTCTATAGACAGAAAACTCAGCCTCAGTCGTATGTCCCACCACCCACAGCAGGGGCAGTGGGTCCCAAGGCTACTATACCATGGAAGCATGATGCCACTCTGTGACACACAAAATGATGGCCACTTTGGGATTCCTCCAGCTCAGAAACATGTTTCACCATCTGCATAAAAAACATCACATCAGAAACTCCCAGACTCCTCCTTGGTTTTGTCCCTACTTGGGCACCAAGTGTTGTCTGAGCCCTTTCCTGGGAAGATGTGAACAGAAGCCTCCTCCGGTAGGGTACCAACAGCAGACCAAAGTACAACTGCAGCAAAGCCCAGCCTGGTAAAACAGTGAGTTCACAAAGCTTGCATGCAGAGTGTGGGTGGGGGTTACTAACAGGAGAGTGGGTGACCCCAAAGCAGTTCATAATGTAAGTCTCCCCCAGCGTGGATGAAAGTGACCCCATAGCCACATACAGAGAAGAACCCTGCCTTAGTCTCCCACATGCTGTACATTGTAACCCCCCTAGACCATGAGACTCTGTGCACCCAGAGGAGAATTTCGTATAGTTACAGAAAGGAGGAGCTGAAATCTCAATAGAGAACTTATTGACCCTTCTCACCCCCCTTTTTAATGAAGCAACAGTTGGGAGGTAGAGGCAGGAGGATAAGAAGTTCAAGGTGATTGCTACAGAGTGAGTGGGGTCAGCCTAGGCTACAGGAAACCTCTGCTGAGGAGGACTCCAAGACTGCCAAGTTGATGACCAACTGACTGACCACTGCGGGTCATGGCCTGGTTGGCTGCAAGCTGAAAATCATGGAGGACACAGCGTGCCAGCTCAGTTATTCTTGAAGCATTGCTTATCTGCCTTTAGCAGTTGATGTTCCTCTAGCTCCTCAAATGAGACCAGCCTTGTCACACGCAGGTCCTCAGGCCACCTTTGTCCACCTTGGACAAACCTCTAATGCTCTGGAACATGCCTCCTCCACTGCCTTCCTCAAATCATAGTATTGTCATGGCTAGCTCTACAGAAGGGGGAGGATGAGAGAGAAGAGAAGGAGGGGAAGGACCAGGACCGAGTTATTTTATGAAGCCAGTATAGCAATGATACCAAAATCTGTTTACAGGAAGAAAATAATACAGGTCTGTATTTCTCACAGACAGACAAACATGCTAGTCACATATTAAAATATTGCATCCAATGTTATACAAAAGAGATGATAGAGTGAACCCTACTGAGGGTAAAATTCTGAGGTGTTCACATTTTCATTTCAAGGATCAGAGGGTAGAGGGAGGAGAGAAAGCAAGTTAGTTACCAGCCACAGGTAAAACTAACCTACTCACACTGAAACCTCGAAAGCTACCACAGCTGATTGGTGGAGCCTCTGCAACCTGTTAACCTATAAATCGGATGAATGTGGAAGCAAGAGCTCAGCCTATGAGGCTGAGGAGATAGATGGTCCAACAGTAGTCTTCTCTCTCTCTCTCTCTCTCTCTCTCTCTCTCTCTCTCTCTCTCTCTCTCTCTCTCTCTGTTTGTGTGTGTGTGTGTGTGTGTACACACACCAACAGAAGCCAGAAGTGTTGGCTGACCTTCCTACAGGACCCGAGTTCACTCCTAAGACTGAAATGGCAGCTCACAGTTGCCTGTGACTCCTGTTCCAGGAGATCCTAGGCCTCTGGCATTTTACAGCTCTGCACTCATGTACACATACCCAGCATAGGCACATACACACACACACACACACACACACACACAAATTAGGAATAATAAAAGTGAAAATAAAAAAGAATTCTGCTTGTGGATTGTACTTCTACCTGGATTTTCCTTCTCTGCCCTCTATCCTATAGTTTGAAGTGGGTTATTTTGCTTTTTTTTTTTTTTTTTTTTGTAGTTCTGGCTGTCCTGGAACTCACTCTGTAGACCAGTGGCCTCGAACTCAGAAATCCGCCTGCCTCTGCCTCCCAAGTTCTGGGATTAAAGGCGTGGGCCACCACTGCCCGGCATTTTGCTTTCTTTATACAAAGTTTATTTAGAAAAGTATGCTCTTAGGTTTGGTGCTGTAGACATCTTCAGGTGTTGCCCAGCTTTGCTGCTGCTGCTGCTGCAGGCTGGAGAGCCCTCAGAGACAGAGATCACACAGAGACCTTATCCTAGAGTTTCCAGGCTCTTGTTCTTAACTCCTAGGAGGGATGAAGATTTTTTTTAAAAAGAGACACTTGTACCCTTCCCTTTGGTTGCCAGATTCTTGAAAGGACCTGGAGAAACTGGAATTCCCCCAGGAACCTCATGCTTGGAGAAGGAAAAAACTGAACCCTGGTGTCAGGAAGTGAGAAAGCTTGTTTTCCAGAGGGAGATTTCTTATGGTTCTAAAAAACTGTCTGACTATCTTGCAGGAGGAACTGGACCTGACAGTGCTGATGGGCATGAATCCATGACCATACCTCAGCCAGGACTAGTGTGAGGGATAGCTCTTGCCTCTACTTAAACCTAAGTCTTGTGCCAGGACTCCTATGATTGCTGT